TAGAACCAATCAGATAACGCGTTGTGTAGAATATTTATAATGAGTTATGATAATAATTGTTATCGAGTCATTTTGCATTATTCCTCTGACGATTTGAAGCATATGACTTTGGTCTATAGTCTATGAAAAGGAAAGTACTACATGTAAACTTTTTTTTATTTTGACATGGAAGGAATTGTCTTAATGTACAATGTGGTTGAGTTCAAGTTCAGTTTATTCACCCAGACCAATCTACTGGTACATGGGGTATTGTGCATAAATAACATATATACATTATATACAATATAAACAGTCTGTTCAGAGGTACATACACAATATATATAAAAAAAACATGACAGAAGATTAAGGGTAGAACAAAAGAGTGGGGAAACATATCAAGGAGGACAGACAGCAGCATAAATTTTTTTGATAAATTAAATATACAAAGTTTTTTCATCATATTTTCGTTTGAGGTTGACATAATTTCTATAAACTTAATAACATTCGGTCTATGAGAATAATAATTTCCTAGGAAATTCTTTCTAAAATTAGCTAAGGCTTTACATTCTAAAATATAATGAAATTCATCTGCAATTTGAGTGTTTTTACAAAGTTTACATATTCTTTCGCAGAGTGGTAAACCATGCCATCTTCCAGTCTCTATCGGTAAATGGTGATTTGTGGTACGAAATTTCATAAATATTGTTCTAAATTTAGGAGATAACTTATTAATATAATTTTCAAACCCAAAATTTTGTTTAAAGATTCTATATGTTTGTCCTTTTGAAGAATTATTAACGTCACTAAACCACTTTTGAATAAATTGATCTTGTAATATTTGTTTTACGGTAGCAGTTATCCATTTATAATTCATATTGGCACTCTGTTCGTACCATACATTTGGTAAACCACATATATTACATATTTTCTGTATACAATCTAAGCATGGGTTTGTTAAATTTCCATCACAGTACAGTTTAAACATATGTTTATATAAAACATTTACAACTTTAGTTTGCGGGCCTGAAAAAAGCTTTGCCCAAAATGAAATCATTCTACAATATACCGAGATGTACAGACGAAAGCGACCTGTTTCACCATAGACCATGTACGATGGTCAAATTAAAGACATACTTTAAAAACTTCAAGTGCAGACGTACAACAATATCAAGATTTTCGTAGCCCCACACTTCAGAGCCATATAGTAAGACTGGCTCTATGAAAAAGATCAAATTGACAGTCAACTGGTAATTTGAATTGTCTAATTTTTCCTATAATTCCATACATCGCTTTTTGAACTTGTTCATATAAGTGTTTTTTGTTTTACAAAAGGAACCAGAGCGTGAAAATACAACGCCTAGATATTTAAATTCTTTAACGTTTTCAATAACTAAGTTGTCGTAATAAAATTTTCTTTTTAACATTGGCCCCTTTGAAAATACCATGATCTTCGTTTTTTCAACATTAACTTTCAACTTCCATTGTAAACAATATATTTGGAATTCGTTAATTGCATGTTGTAATTCATCGGCTGATTCAGCCATAATAACAGTGTCATCTGCATTAAAAAGAACTAACAGTTTTAAAATACATTAGTTATTCGTTCTCAATAGTATTTGAAATACTTTGTAAGCCTACAACATTCTTGTTAAGTAAAAAATCTTCAAGAACATTAATATACATGGAAAATAGAAATGGTGAGAGGTTTTCCCCTGTCTTGAAACCATAATTTTTAACGTTTGTGAATGTTTTCATAAGAAATGATTGAGACAACGTCCGATGGAAGTTATAAACGTGCAGACCCCAATTAGGACTCCTCATTGTCAACGGTATATGGAGACTCCAAAGGATGTGCCGCGGTATTTTCTATGTTTATCAATTAGCACCTTAATTATGTCTTCTCATTCCTTGATTATTGTCAATATATTTGTGAAAGATTTTGAATAATTTAAAAAAAAAATTAATAAATAATAAAATGACTTTTTATTCAATGAAAAATTGATTTTAAGACGCGAATTCTGAAATCGGAAAAATATTATAATTCTCAATGAATTTTTGCTGTCTGATGTATGGGCCGACCTATATTTAATCTTGGGCCGACCTGTCTGAGCCGAGTTGTCATTAGGCCGAGATGTCAATAGGCCGAGGTCTCTGACATTCATCTTAAACCGTCAATAACTTTTTTCATACTTTTATTTTGGTTGATTATAAAAGAAATTCAAAGTCATTGATAATTTACCAGTGACTCAGGATACAAAGCCATGACATCTATTGTCTTTTTCACTGACCACTATACCTTGTTTATTTTGAGTCAAAGCGCCCGTGTCCACTCTGCAGCTGTTTGAAATAACATTTTCTCTTTAAATGAGAGCCGATTTTTGTCAATCAGATCAAAATAAAAGTATTAAAAAGCTATTGACGGTTAAGATTGTGCATAATGAGACGATTATTTTGATATCATCATGGAAATAAAATTAACAAAAGTAGTTTAAATATGCTTCAAAAATACTTTGACTTATATTTTATCGTAAAACAGTTATAGAATAAGCCAACAAAATCCAACTTTCTGGTATATAATTAATTTGTTTGTATCATCATTTTAAAAATAAAATAATAAATAGATTGAATCTTTACAATGATTAATTACATGCATTTAATTAGTTTTATTTATTTGTTTACTAAGCTTAAAGAAAATCAATCAATTTTAAAAAGTAGAATTTTCCAAAATGTAGCATTACCCCTGCTGTGGTTTTTTTTTCTTCACAAAAGGTGCAAAGTCACATAAGATTATGGAAGATTGTGGATTAAAAGGTGTTTGCAAAATAATAATAAATAAAAATATTAATTTACTAAAAAAAATTAAAAAGTAGATGGATAAATATTTTTGAAGCGATGATTTTTTTTTAAATTTTTTTTTTTAGATTTATGACAGAACTCAGTAAGTCTCTTAACAAATTAAATAAATACTACTATATGTTTGAAATACTGTTTAAAAATTTCTCAAGTAAATAACTGCGTAATAAATTGATAATCCCACATCTTAGGTAATCGTACAACCGTACAGTGCTCTGCAAGTATGTATACTTCTTTTTTCTCTCTCTCAGTCGCCCGCGTGGCGCAGTGGTTCTCGAGAGCGTCTGCTCTACAGTCGCGAAGTAAAGAGTTAATCTTTACGTTACGGGTTCGAAACCCACTGTGGGACGTGGAGACCGGTTATTCGGATGAGACTGTTTAAACCGAGGTCCCATGTGTCGAAGTAGGTGCTGGCACGGAAAAGATTCCTCACTGCTCAATGGCCCTAAGTGCCGAGTATAGGACAAAATTTGCAGCTCTCCACCGGCAAGTGGTCGCGTCTCCATATGAGTGAAAAAATCCCGAGAGGGATATTAAACAATAAAAAAACAATCAATCAATCTTTTTGCCTTAGTGAACATATACAGGGACGTATTGGGACAAATACTGGGATATACCGTAGGTGTCTGTAGGAAACAGTAGCCATTCATGGACATAGGCGTACCGCGTACTACTGTAGGTAACTGTGGCATACTGTGGATAGATACAGTGGCATACTGAGACTTACTATATATACAGAGCAGGTATACCGTACAATACTGTAGATATACCGTAGATAACTGTGAAAATGCTGTAGGATACAGGGAAAGACAAGGGATTTTCATACGAACAGGGGTTTTAAAAGCTGAGCAAAAAATACCCTGTTTTTCCGAAAAACGGCATTCTTAGGACTCACTCATTCTTGGGAAACATTCTTCTTTGGATTCTTAATTAATTCCTTTGAATTAATTTACCTCTCTTTTTTGGAATATTTTTGGAATTAATCTTTTGGACTCCAATTTTTCGGGATTATAGTCCTCCGCTCTTATATATTTAGGGACGGATCTTATAAACATTTGTATTAAAAGTGTTTTGGTTTGTTTTGATCATATTTTTGAACTGTTAATTATAAATCTATATGATCACCAGATCAATTTGTCTATTTGCATAGGGAAACCAAGAAAAATGTTATCATTGGCTTACGTGATACACTTCTATGAGAGCTCATATTTCATATTTTACATGGAACCAAAGCAAATCAAGTTTAATTCTTTAAAAATGAGAATTTGGCAGTTTAAGTCATTTGATTACACGAGGTAGCATAACTTCATTGTATTTGCTACAAGTGTAAGTTGCTTGTAAACCTTTGAACAATTTGACCTTCCCTCTAAAACCAAGGACAACTCATATAACACGGAATTGTGATAGGATAATTAAAGTCTTAAAAAAAATTATAGTCATAACATACTTTTCAGGACTAATAACCAGAAGTAAAACTCCAGGAATTAACATGCTATGGAAACGCTAGTTAAGTTCCACTTATCATGTTAATAGGAACATACGAGAAATCTTAAAATGCAGACATGCATTATGGTGCATAAATTAGTATCTTTTAATCTGAAAATCCTGTTTGAATGTGTTATAGGGAAATGAAAGAATTTTGAATTTGAAGTAAGTCATTATATGCAATTTAAATGCATTCTGTATTTAGTATTAAATTAATCTCTCTAAATAATGTTTTAATCATGAAAAATAACTTGTTCTCTTGGTCTATGAATTCTAAAAAAAAATAAAACTATCTTGATTTGATTGACCTTGCAACAGAAGTTGAATGTCAAAATGCCCTTGGCTTGTTCAACTTAGGGAAATCATCATTGTATGTAAATGATATAGAAGTATAAACGCTCATTAAATAAATCTGTGAATGTTCTATATTATTAATTTTGATTGAAAACGATTACAATATGAGAATATTTTTTACATAAAGAAAACTATATTTTGATATTTTTTTTACGATGATCATACATGTTTTTCATATATCAATAATATATCATATTGATTAATTTTTTGATAATATTAATGCACTTCATGCATTTTGCCATCTGTACTGAAACAATTTCACAAGTCCTTCAAGATATCCGACCCACAGTGTAAACTTGTACAGGGACAGTGTGGAGGGACGATTCACTTCATTTTCTGTCAGTAGAAACTTTAGCAACTCTCCAATCAGGACTCAACAGATGGATCTGTTTGTTGTTAGGGTCAGTACCAAGGATGTTACAGAGGGAATCACTTACAACATCAACTGGCCTGAAGTCCTCTGTCAGGTTCTGTCCATGGTAGACAGACTTCATACGACCAGAGGGAGACATAATCACTAGTTCAACTGTAGTGAGATTTGTACGGTTCATAACACAGATATCACAGTAACTGTTCTGTGTGAGTCGGCCTGGAAATGTAAACAGTCTGGTTTAACCGTCCTGCTAGTACTCATACTCACGGATGACATCACCTTTTACTGTGATGTGTCTCACCAAACATCTGCTCTTTGACTCTAATTTGTAAGGACCTGATTCATTGTCTCTCAAGGTGACCAGTAGTCCACCGTCCACTGACTGACAGATTCCTGATGGTACCAGTGGATCTGTACTGATGACTTTAGAGACAGACCCCGAAGGTGACAATCGGCGGATGGTATTGTCATTATAATCAGTGAAATAAACATCACCATTATCAGTCACACACATATCAGTAGGAAAAGAGATACTAAAACTATGTCCTTTTTTGCCTTGCTGATTGACTTCTAAGGTGTATTTTTAATTGAATTCATTTAAGGAATGTTTTTAAGTTTTGTGTGAGATATTGGTGTGCGAATCACACAGACTTGTCACGTAGGCATATTTCATGAAGCGAGCTAGCGCTTCATGAAAAATATGCCTACGTCCAAGTCTGTGTGATTCTCACACCAATAATTCACACTAAACTTAAAAACATTCCTTATATTTACATTTTAACATGTTTGGAAGCAACTAAAATATACGTATTATTTGAATTTCTTACTGCCCTATATCGTTTCATTTTTACTAACGTCTCTGTAGACTGATTGTAACGTCACGTTAGCGCACGTTTCTATATGTATATTTCTACGCGTGAGTATACATGAAATTGGTTTTCAAATCAATTTCACTGCTTAGTAGAAAAACACAGCTAATGTAAATATCCATGTAACAATAATCTTCACAGAAGGTCTCTAAAGTAAATATTAATTTATCTCCATACTGAAATGAGTTTTTTATGGTCTCACGATATGATCTATATCCCGAGTTTTTCCGACCACAAAATGAAGTATGTTATCATTGATTTCACCTCTAGTGAACCTCACTGAATGTTCACAGTTTGTCATTTGAACCTCCAATTCAGACAGTATTTTTGTCAGTTCTCTTTGGTTGTCAATCAAGCTGTAATCTGACATTGTGGTGCTGTTCTCCTCCATAAATTCCACTGTGTCAATTACTGTAAATGTGGTTATATTGACGAGTTGAAAAATTGACTATTTTTATTTACGAAAATTGACAAGTGTTAATTTTGACGAAATATTTAATCAAGAGTCATGTACCTTTGAATTGACATGGTAAAAAATGAATTCCAGAGTTAGAGTTGGACCATCTTCGGTGTGTAAGATTGTAAAAATCCTATAAATGTATGAGGTTCGATTACATGAATTAGTTTATCCTTTTGTATTTTGTTTTTATTATAAGCGATCACTTGCCCGAGGTGACAAACTTAGTCAAACACGACGTGATAATTACAATAAGTTAAGCCCCTGTCACACTGTCACGATTTATAGCTACGATTCATTACGAATTCAAATCGGGATTTATCGCAGAAGTACTCGTGTGATATCTTTCTTAATCGTGTTGGATCGCCGCAATCACCAAACCTGGCGATTGTTTTGAGCATGTTCAAAACAATCGTGGTCACACACGATTTTTTAATTATTCGTACACAATCGCACAGCATCCGCACTGCACTCGTACTAATATTCGTAGTTAATCTTCGAAGTTCGTGCGACATTCGCGGAGCTTCGTAGTACTCGCGACACTACGAAAGTCCAGTACGAGTTATTGCGAGTGTCCTTCGAGTTTGTGCGAGTGTCTCTCGAGTAACTGCGAGCGTCTTACGAGTGTTGAATTGATAAGAACATCGTACGACTTTCCTGTGAATATGATACGAAAAAGGACGATTGATGGCAAGTGCTGCACGAAAACAGTGCGATTGATCTACGAGTTAATACGATGTAGGTAGACGGTATCTGATGTTAACACAGTCGAAATCAAAATACTGCCTAAAATAAAAGGAAAGAAGCTTAGAAAAGTGAAATAAACTGAATCTACATGTGTATAGGGCCATTTCACCAAAAATTCTTCCCGGAAGACTGAGTTGCGATCTAAGAGCGTGGCTTGATCGCTGAAGATCGCACGAAGTCGAAGGTTGTCCACGAAGTGGTCACGCCTCGGTCTCCTGTGGTCGATCAAAGTCGAAGAATGGTCTTCCTGAAAAATAGATCGCAGCTCAGTTTTTTGACATGTCAAAAAACTGAGCCTCGACTTAAAAGTCGCAAAGAGAGCGTCGAAACAGCGAATACGGTCGAGGAAAAGACGGATTGATCAAGGGGAAATTGAGACTAGAGCGGGGATGAGCGAGGCTAAGTCTTCTTGAGCGAAAACTGATCGAGCACACGGTCGTGCTGCTCGATCAATTCTCAACACTCGCTCGATCCATGCGATGTAGCCTAGATCCGCTGCGATCAAGAATCGCTTCGTGCGACCTGCTCCAGATTGTCCTTAGACCAGTGCGCTCACTGTTTGCAAAATGGACACGATTTGATTATGATCAGAGGATTGAGGTGCGATCTATGTGCGTTTAAGGTTCAACCACTTAAGATCATTTCTCGCTTAAGTTGCGACTTACCTTCGCCTAATCCGATTAAGCCACCCCTACTGAAAACCGCGCAGATAGGGCGCAAGCTCATGCGATGATCATTACACGATTAACCCTGGTCAACAGTTCGTCGAACATCTCCGGTGGCATACGCAGATAGTTCCGATAGGAAGCTTCATCTCCAAGCCTCAGTTCTTTCATGAGGGAGGTATACTGGCCATAATGATCTCTTTGACGTCCTCGTAACCACGGAACAACCCAATATTTCTTTTTAGTATGTTTTTTTCTTCTAATCTTCAGCATCGTCAGCATGATCATAGAGTCTTGCTGTAGTTTCAGGGCATGGTGTTGCAATAGCATTGCATGATGTAAAGCGATAGGATCCATGCTTCTTTCAGGGTGGTCAAAACTGATGATCGCCCACTGATCGCTGGGTCTTTTTTTACGATAGCAGTAGGTCGCACGTAAATCTGAACGACCAGGGCAAATTTGGCGTAACTCGGACGAGGAGTAGTTGAGAAAAGAACTAGAATTGAGCGTATAGATCGAGGCTAGAACGTTTGTATCGTATCTAAATCGTATTGATCGAGTGTTTATTGCAACTCGTACGCGCCGAAATCGGCCAAAGTCGAGTACTGGTCGGCAGAGGTCGCACACTTTCGAAGATAGGTCGTCGAGAGGTCGATGCTACATGGTAAACTGATCGAACACAACGATCCTTGATCGTGTTAAGATCGGATGGAAAGGCGCAGGTAGAGCGTACAAAGAGCGTCCATAGAGCGTGTAGGACGCACCAAGAACGTTTACAACGAAAGTTATACGAGATAATATCGAACGTAAAGCGCAGAGAGAAACTAAATGTCTAGGTCGCACGGATTTTTCACGCGACTACGTAAAAACAGAGGTGCGACCATGGTCGCGCGTGGTTGCATGCGATTTTTCCAGATCGTACTTGGTGAAATGGCCCCATAACAGAAACTATAAACACCGTGTACAATAAACTCATGAAGAGATAGAACAAAATCAAAAGCTTCACACTGTAGTTTTTACCATGATCAAATAACATAACTATAATGTTTAATGATTTCAGACAAATCTGCCATTACTCTATATATACATGCCATTACATGTATATTCGTAAGAAATCGCCATTAGTCGTAGGAATATCGTGTATGTAACGTGGCATATCGTAGTCCTTCGTACGGGTATCGTATGTAACCGCGTTTAATCCTTCATAATCGTAGAAATATCGTAACCAGATCGTAACGCTGTCGCCTCAGTTCGTACTTAAATCGTACAAACCTCGTACTTTGTCGCACAGACATCGTAGACACGCCGTTTTAGTAACAAAATATTCCACACGTTGTTGAAAAATCGCAAGACTTACCTGGCGATGAACGGCGATATTTTCAACTTTTATTAATTCGTGGGTATTCGTAGCATAAATCGTGACAGTGTGACACGGCCTTAAATGCAAGTTTTTGTAACATTAGTTGAGAGTAAATGATTTTTAAAAAGTATGATTATATATATCACTATGTTTTCATTACTAATCATAAAGGAAATTAACAGTAACTTTGATAAAGTTATAAGGGAAAGCCGAGAAAACTTAACGGTAAAGTTGTATATTTGTTAATATCTGTTGTGACCTTTTGTGTATGATTTGAAGTTTGAAGAGTGTAAATTTTGACGAGGAAAGAGAAATCGTCAATATAGTCAAAATTAGCACATCGTCAAAATTTCTACGTTTACAATATTCCTTGTTTCTTCTTCTGTAACTGGGAGTTCACAAGTTTCAGTTATTCATTCTTTTTTTACCAAATTGTCTCTCATTGTCCTTTCATGACATTCTCTGATTTCTGTCAGCCTGGTTATTATCTTTTCATAACGCTTCTGTAGTTTTTTGATCTTTGAGTCACACAGTTCCGTTTTTTTCTGTCATCTGTTTTGACACCTTCCTCATCTTCTCATGAATCAGGAATCTCTGGCAAATCTTCTTCCTTGACCGTCTTCAGAAATCTAATTAGACTTCTCCTTTTTTCGGGAGCTGCCGAGGGTAGAGTGTTCCAATCATGATCTCTATGGTCTGTTTTAGCACACTTGGCACAAATGAATTCGTGGGATTCACACATTACAATGTGTTCCTGAGGAGAGCCCAGTGGATATTTGTTTGCACTAGCAGCCATGTTTGTTTGGTACGTGGCTAGCTGTTGCTTATCAGTGTCCTCGATTTTGGTGCACATATGCTAGATAATCATAAGGCACGAATGCATATAAGGAATTTAAACAACAGACTTTAAATTTATTCAATATGTCACTTGTTTATGCAATGAAATAACACACATGTGTATACTAAATCTAAAACATGAAAAAAAATTTCATTTTAAGTAGAAAATTTGATAAAGAGACTATAATTATAATTTTTGTTCATTTTTTTGGCCATTGTTTCCATTGAAAAAAGGGCGTGTGTGCTTCTCTGTACGTCCTATCTACAATGGTGTTACGGATTCTTAGTAACTTAGACCTTTGATGGTAATTGGACAATTTTCCCAAGCCCCCCTCCCCTACTAAGTCAATGGCAAGTTTAGGTATATATGTACACAATTTTGAATTTCTAAGGGAACAAAATTTTGTTTATTGCTTTTTAATTATGAGGACCATTGCTTGAATTCCTATCACAAAACTCTCTGATGTGATAATCTGTGCAAGGGAGCTTCCGACCCTCATTTGTTTTGGTCCCTCTTTTGTGTTTAACTCTGTTCGACCTTGATCGTCCTTCTTGGACAAATTCAAATGTATTATTTATTTTATTTTAGTTATATTTTAATAAAGCTTTTTCTAGGTGAATTTAAGGAGGAATACCACACCAACTTTTTATTTAATAGATTTCTGAGTCAACCTTTTTAAACAATGGTTTCAGCATTGAAAGGTCAACATTAGCTCTCAATTATTTTATATGAATTTTTTGTATTTTTTCAAAGAAAATAAAAAAAAATATTTACATCGAAATTAAATGCTTTCTTGTAAAAATTTTGTTGTAAATAAATGCATCACATGAAAACCTAATAAAATATGTAAAGAAAAGATGTATAGATTTAATTTTTTTTAAAATAAAAAAATATTTATCAAAATAAAAAACATAATTTATGAATATTTTTTAAACTTGTTAAAATTTTCTTAAAACCCGTCACAACTGCGGAGAACATATCCATTCGTCATATTTATAAAAGAAATTGAAACAGAATAGCGAAATTTTAGAGAAACTATTTTTTAAATTTTGGCCAAGCCCGATCAAAATTAAACCGAACCCGACAATAGTTGTACCATTATTGAAAAAAGATCATATTTCCCAAAGAATGCTAGTCTAATAAGGTGTAATAAGGGTTAAACATTATTAAACTTGACAATAAAATAGATTTTTTCATTGTAAATACATTAAGACACAATGAATTAGCATTTTATTCATTTTGTGTTAATTTTGATCGGGGTCAGTATCATTTTGATCGGGTTTGGTCCAAATATTAAAAAAATTATTTTCTCTAATATTTCTCAAGTTCGTTTCAATTTCTTTTTAAAATATGATTGACAAACATGTTGTCCTCAGTTGTGACTAGTTTTATGGTGTTTTTAACCATAGGTTTAAAAAAATATTCACAAATAATATGTTTTATTTACATCAATATTTTTTTTTTTTATAAAAAAAGATTAAAACGTCAAACCAGCCTTCCTTTACACACTTTTTTTTTTTAGAAATTGATATGATGCATTAATTTACAGCGAAAGTTTAACTCGAAAACAGCTTATTTGGATATAAATATTTTTTTCATTTTCTTTGAAAAAATACAAAAAAATTCATATAAAATAATTAAGAGCTAATATTGGCTTTTCAAAGCTGAAACCATTGTTTAAAATGGATGACTCAAAAAGCTATAAAATAAAAAAATTGGTGTGGCATTACACCTTAAACGACAAGAAAACGATTTGCAGCCTAACTGTAACATTTAAATAACTCGCTGTTACTAGTATATGAGAAACATGAAACAAATAACTCGAATAAACATTTTTATGCCTTTCCAAAAAAAAAAATTCTTTAGGATTGACGGAATCTTGAGACTATAATTTAGGCTCACAGCGCTGAAAGTTTAGAAAATAATCAGGCTTGGGGTCAATTACTTTGAAATGTAATTAATTACTTTCAAATACATTGATAATTTTGGCAATTACTTGCAATTACAATTACATTGATTTTTTCAAATGTAATTAATTACTTTCAAATACTTTGACAAATGTAATTAATTACTTCTCAATTACTTGAGTTTTTGTTTTTTATATTAAAAACAATATGGATTTTTTAAATAGTTTTTTTTCTTTAGTGAACCTTTATTCAGCGTTTTGTTCTTGGGTGTGAGAGGGGTTCACACCTATACAAAATTAGACCTATACCTAATGCCTTGGGCAGTGTGACACACTGTATAAACAAATTAAACATTAATGATACATTTAATTATTGTACAAACAGAAGCCCATGCTACACCAGTATGGTGTATGGCAAGATATGTTTTGTTACTTTCTTTAATCCATATTTTTGAAGCAAATGAATAATATTTCTCAAAAATCTATCCATTATTTTCTATCATAAAATGAATTGAATACAGGTAAATTAGAAATTTAATGTAGTTAGTCTAATTACTGTAAAAACAAATAACTTTCTAAACAATCATTGATATTAGCAAGTGGGAATAAGAATTGAGATTTTTAAAAAGTGGGAATAGGTAGTATAAACCCACCAGTATAAAAACTGTCTATCAGTATAAGACACCTTTTTATTTATAAACTTTCATTTTGCAAAAAGTAATTGAAATGTAATTGAAAAGTAATTGAAGATACATGACCTTTTTTGAAATGTATTTAAATACATTCAATTACTTGTAATTGAAGGCTTGCTCAAATACAAATTACTTCCAATTACTTTGAAAAATGTAATTAATTACGCTCAATTACAATTACTTTATTCAATTACCCCATCCCTGAAAATAATATATATAAAATAATTGGTAAACTTGTTTGATACATGTACATGACTATATATTTTGAATCTCATTCTTTTTAATAAATGTTTTAATTTAAAGGAACGGTGCACCTCAGATTTAATTGATCAAATAGTACCGATCGAGCAATCCATTATACTTAAGGAGCTCGAAGTAACAAAAAAATTAAATGCCAGAAAGCAAACACGAATTTGAAAAGAGAAAAGAGGAACCAACCGGCATCGATTGCATGACACTATTATATAATTACAGTCAATGATGTTTAGTCGTACCCGGCATATATGTTTACAGATCATTATTATAAATTATAATAGCATTACAAGCATAATTTAGAAACACAAATATTCAAGTATACATTTTTAATTGGAATGAAGTTTTGTTATTTGGTATCATAAAGGTTAAAGAAAGACTTAAAACTTTAAATTTTACAGGTAAATTAAGGTTTAGATTGAAAGATAGACATAAGACAAACATATTTGTTAACAAAAAAAAAAATGAAAATTATCAAATCTACAAATATATAAAAGAAAACAAGTATCAATTCCCCTGAAACAGCTACCTCACCTAATTGCCCCTAGAGAGAGGAAAATCCAGTTCCTTCTACCATTATTCAAGACAGCTGGCTTTTTGTACGAAATTGAGACGTGATGGAGATGGAGGACGATGATAGATATGAACTCCTACAGCTGACCGAGGAACAAATGGCTGACGTGGCAAGGTTCTGTAACAAGTACCCTAACATAGAGATGTCATTCGAAGTCCAGGAAAAGAAAAGTCTTCACAGGTAAGGGGAGGGGGCAAACTTTGTAACTTCAACAACTGGGTGTTTTGGTTCTTAACATTGAGAAGCAAAGGTAAAAGAAAACTCTCTATATATATATACAACCAAGCTGAACACAATGTGTGCATTCTGCAAAAGAGAAAAGATTGCAGTTTTGATGAGTATTTGGACATTTTTGTCCTGTTTTACACAGAAAGTCTAGACAAACCAGTATCTGTCTGTTTTAGTGGTTCCCCTGTCAATGTGCTGGTGTCCCTAGAGAGAGAAGATAAATTAGTGGGACCAGTGGTGGCACCATTCTTTCCTCAGGTAGGTGAACAAAAAAAGAAATAAATCTTTCTTTATGTATTTTCATATATTGTTTCATTATCATATAATTTAATTTTACTTGTAACATGCCATTTGATTGGGTGAAAGATTTTATCCATTTTGTTTAAGATATCTTGCCTACGTTACAATGAGTTGCGTCAAAAACATATTACTCCCCTTGACATAACTTTTAAAATATGCTATCTTTGAAACCATTTTCCAGGGGAAAATTGTCTTATTTTCTATACTGAAATAAAATTATAAGGAATGAAGCTTATTTCAATAAGTGTATGCTGTTTATAAACCTTTGAACAATGTAACCGTCCCTCAAGAACCATTAAGGGCTAGGTTAAGTTCCATACATCTTGTTAAACCTCAAATGCAGGCATCATGCTTAACTCATTTTATTTATTCTGAAAATCCTGCTATGTGTTAAAGGGAAATTAAAGACTTTTGAAGTATGTATATGCAGAGAGTCATATGCAGGTTTAATGCATTCTGTGTGAAATATCAAATAAATCTTTCTTAATAATGTTTTAATCATAATAAATAATTTGTTCATTTGGTCTCTTGATAAAAATATATTTCTTGATCCAGTAGACCTTGCAACAGAAGGCAAAGGGGCCTTGGCTTTTTCAGGGAAATCAACATTGTATGTAAATGTTATAACAATATACATTCAAAGTAAATAAATCAATGAATATTGTGATTTATTAATTTTGATTGAAAACAATTAAAATTTTAATTTTTTTTTATACATATGGGAATCGAACAACATGATGATATTTTTTTTGGAGATTATACAGGTATTTCATAAAGTGGTTGTATGTTATATTAATGAATTTGTTCAATATTTGTGCACTTCGTATGTTTTGTCATCTATTTTGAAACACTTTGACAAGTCCTTCAAAGAATCCCACCACTTGTATAGTGATGATCTGCTTGGGTGGTTCACTTCATTCTCTGTCAGTAAGAATTTTAGGAAATCCCCGTCATGACACAGTAGATGGATCTGTTTGTTATTACGGTCAGTAACAAGGATGTTACAGAGGGAATCACACACTACATCAATTAGTCTAAAGTCCTCTGTCAGGTTCTGTCCACGGTAGACAGACTTCACATGACCAGAGGGAGACATAATCACTATTTCACCTGTAGAGTGACTTTTATGGTTCGCAACACAGATATCACTGTTACTGTTCTGTGTAAGTCTGGTTGGCCGGGTAAACAGTCTGGTTTGACCGTCTTCTTTGTACTCATATTCATAGATGACATCACCAGTCACTGTGGTGTGTCTCACTAGACGTCTGCTGTGGGACTGTAATTTGTATCGATCTGATTCCTTATCTCTCAAGGTGACCATTAGTCCACCGTCCACTGACTGACAGATTCCTATTGGTGTCAGTGGACCTGTACTACCGACTGTAGAGACAGATCCTGATGGTGACAGACAGCTGATTGACTTGTTACGATAGTCAGTGAAATAAACATCACCGTTATCAGCCACACACATGTCATTAGTAGAGGAGACACTAAATCTTTGTATTTTGGAACCTTCTACGTTAACTTGTTCTATAAATTTAGATTGATATTCATTAATGTAACATCGATCTTCACTGAAAGTCTCTAAAGCAAATATGACTTTATCTCCATATTCGAATGAGTTTTTAAAAGTCACACCAGTATCATCTAAATCCCAAGTTTTTCCAACCACAGAATTAAGTAAGTCATCATTGATTTCACCTCTAGTGAACCTCACTGAATGTCTATAGTTTGTCATATGTACCTCCAACTCAGACAGCATTTTCTTCGATTCTCTGTAGTTGTTAATCATGATGTAATCTGACATGGTGCTGTTGTTCTCCTCCATGAATTCCACTGTGTCAACAATTCCTCTCTTCTTCTTCTCTAACTCAGATTTCACATGGTTCAGTTTTTCATTCTTTTTAACTAAATCGTCTCTCAGCGTTTTTCATGGCGTTTTTTGATTTCTGTTAGCATGGTTATTATCTCATCACATTGTTTCTGTAGCTTTTTAACCTCGGAATCACACACATCTTTATTTTCAGTGATCTGCTTCGATATTTTCTCCTTCTTCAAATCAATTCCAGGCAAATCCTCTTCCATGATTTTCTTAAGAAATTCCTCCAAACCTCTCCTCTTTTCCGTAGCTGCCGTGATCAGAGTTTTCCAGTTATGATCTCTATGATCTGTTTTAGCACACAGGGCACAAATAAATTCATCACAGTCCTCACATATCATATCAATGAGTAATCCATGGGTTTTACAAGTTTTAATACGCACTAGAGGAGACCCCAGTGGATATTCTTTTTCATTTGCAGCCTTGTTTGTCGGGTATTGACTACCAGAGTCCTAGATTTTAGTGCGCATATTAGATAACCATGAGGCATGTGCATGGATGCGTATAAAGATTTTAATAAGCACTTTGATTTTATTCAAAATGACAACTGTTTATGCAGTTTTAAGTAGAAAATTTCATAAAAAGATTGTTTCTTTGTTCAATTTTTTCGAATATGACAAGAAAGTCACTTATTAAATAGTTAAGTAGCTTACACCTTTGATGATAAATGGGCATTTTGCATGGTCTCTCCCCCCCCCCCCCCGACTTCCCTACTTAAAATTAAAAGCATATTTGGGTTTAAATGTACGCAACTGAGAATTTCCGAAGGAACATAATGTTGTTTTTTGCCTTTCAATATTGAGGACCATTGCTTGATTTCCTATCACAGAACTTTTTGATATGATGCTCTACGAGGGCTGTTCAATAAATAATGTCCTGAACTATATGACATACATTACAGATACCGTATGAAATTAAACTTGACTTGCTCTCATTATTGAATCCTTTGTGAATTTATAACAGTTTATGTGACCACTTTTCATCACATAGTTTCATCATGAGAAGCTGGGAAACAAGGGCTTTTCGAGACACTGCAATATAAATGAATGGTAAAAAATCAGTAAACAAGAGTGAAAATAAAAGTTTCATTAAAGCTGCCGTAAAACGTGTAAAAAATCTCAAAGAAATATTGACTGAAATATGTGTCATTTAGTGCAACCAATGCCTGTTTTATAGACAAAAGAGCAGTTGGATTTCAATGATAAAAAATTATATAAAGGGCATCAAAAATGGGTACCCTCCTTGCCAACAAAAATTATAACAACTCATGTACTATTCGCCAATTTTCAACAAATAATATCTGATGCTGTATGATTGACTTTAAGACATATAGCAAATTTGACAGAAATCACATCGGGAGTATTTTACACCGTATTTAAGAAACGTTTGGCGGTAAAAAAAGCTTGATACTCAAAGGTTACCCTATATTTTGAAAAATGAGTGAAAATGACAGCGTGTACGAAATTCTTAACAATTATTTTAAAATATCAGTAATTATAGTTATCCACGTTTGTTTTATTTTCAAACAGATATTGGAACATGAATCTATCGCTTAAAACCCTCGAAACAAAATTTACCATAAGATGTACTTGATAAAAAAAGGCGAATGTCTGAAAAGTGCACAGGTATGCAAGAGCACAAAGACAGATTTATATGTAATTTTCTTAAACACTAGTTGTAATGTTGTTCAAAATCGTATTCAGAGAGACAGTTTAATTTCTGGAGGAGTCTAGAAAGCACTCTTTTGGCCAAAAATCAAAAGGTTTATTAGAGGAAGGACCAAGAATCAGGAATCCACCATTTTGAATTTCTTCAAGACAGCGTCCAAAACCGCATGCCCTGAAGAGTAAAGGGGTTTCCGGGATAAACAGAAAGTTAATGCTTTTTTACATTAACAATTTTTGCAAGGTATTTGACTTCTTGACTTGTTTCAATTTCCAAACTTGGAAAAGACACCTTTTAAAAGGAAGAAACAAGTCCGGGAAATCATTGGATCTGCCATTTTCCAGTATACTGAGGGACATACCTAAATATGAGTTCTACAAACAATTAGAAATTGGATATAAAATGCTACGGACATGTATTTTATTTTAAAAAGATTAAATAATAAAACTATGAAAAATAAATAATTGAAAAGCGTCTTTTACTTCTATCTGAGCACCGAGGACATTATTTATTGAACAGCCCTCGTATACAAATTATTTTTCGACCCTCATATGTGTTTAGTCCTTATCTTTTGTTTTTAACTCTTTTCCTCTTTAATCGTCCTTCTTGGACAAATTAAAATTTTTATCTATTTCATTTTAAGCTCACCTCACTGAAGTTGGATGAGCTAATGTGACACCCTCGGCGTAGGCGTCCCAGGATAAGGGTTTTTGGAACAGTTTTCTTTTTTAAGTACTTTTATGCCCTATATTAATTAGACATGCATGAAAGATGCTTCTATTTTGTTTCGTTTTGTATCAGTCAAGTTTCAAATACTGCAATTTCAGCAAAGAAATGACCAGGTTAATGTTTTTGGAGCAGATAATCTTTGTGCAGTTTTTACTGTGGATGAGTGAACAGATTATGTGTTGGTGTAGGTTTCATTTCCAAGTAAATATGAACCCTATGATGACCAAACTTGCATTGATGATGCATCTCAGGATGCACAGTTAAATGGACTTGCTTCGGATGCTGAAGTAGACATACATTTTCCAGATAATGGACCAGGTAAAAGTTATGGGTGCAGGCCTATCACCAAGAATCTATAAGGCCTATATTAACCAAACTTGCACGAATGATGCATCAAGGGATGAATGCTCTCAAACTTGTTTCAGATGCTGGATTTGAATAATTACTTTTTTTTGATGATTTGAAATTTTGGATATACCTATTCCAAAGTAACTGAAAGCCGTTCAGATCAAAATTGCATAAATTTTGCATTTTTGGAATATTGGTTAATCGTGTGACTTTGCTTTACTTAAGCTATGCAACATTCCTTGGTGTGAGCTCTATAATCTCTGATTATTAGTGATTAACTATGTAAAGTTTTATTTTAAACGATGAGAAAACGATTTGCAGCCCAACCGTACTATTAATATCTCGCTGTTGTATGAGAAACATGAAACTTATTAACTCAAATATGTGAGAGTCTCCAAAAATGTTTCTTCTGGATAGAGGGAATCTTGAGACCAAATATAAGGCTTGTAGCGCTTAAAGATTAGAAAATAAAATCATCTATAAAATCGTTGGTAAACTTGTGTGATATACCGTATAACGGGTATTTTTTACGTGCTGCTACTTGTAACTAATCTTTAAGCCCCAGTCACACTGTCACGATTTTAGATCACGGTAAGATCCGATTCAGGGATCCGTGAATATTCTTAGACATCCGCAGTCAGTACCGTTGTGATCCCTGATAACTCAGATTAATCCTGAATGACCCGTAAATTATCACGACTGTTTTGAAATGTTCAAAACAGTCGTGAAATATCTGGGCGGTCTGTTGTTCCTGGAACATCGTAGTCGGTCCGTACTGTAATCTTAATATCACCGTGTAACCACCGTGAAGTTTCGGGGACATTCGTGACAAATAAGTCTACGATTGTTTGAGGAGAACGACGGTTGTAATAGGGTAAATGTACGGCTGTTAATGACGATCCCTAAGGAACCGTAACCAAAGTACGTTGTGACTCAGTTGAAGAAAGACAAGGTCAAGGAAAAAGTACGAATATTGACGACCTACCAATGTTATCACAGGCTGCACAACGGTTTTTGACGGACAACTACTATGGTTGTACGGTAATAGACGGATTGAGTACAATATTTTACGATTCTAAATTCACGTGTTTCTCCAAATCATGCAGAATTACCAAGTCGTGTTTCGATGCAGATCTTCATGGATTTGATACTTTACCATCAGGACAGATTTCGACTTCTAAACTTGCAACTGCAGTTGAACAGGCAACAAGCACAGAATAACATCGTCTTGGCACATGCTTTTCTGAACCAGAGGAAAAAAAGAGAAAGAGGAAAACAGTTTGGGTCAGACCATGGTTGCAGAGGCGTGATCTCTTGGGACACTACACCAGACTTATGGTTGAACTCAATATCGAAGATCTTGGAGCCTACAAGAATTTTTAAAGAATGGATCCTGCGATGTTCCAGGAGATCCTGTTCAGAAAAGAGGATCGCATAAGAAAGAATGATACTTGCTTTATAGGAAGGCTATTCCTACTGGGTTAAAGCTGGCTATAACCTTGCGATACCTTGCATCAAGAGATAGCTACCACTCATTAATGTATGCTTTCAGAGTTTCCCACAATGCAATCTCCCTCTTAATACGTAATGTTTGTGAAGCTATCATCGAGATATACGCCGAAGAAGTAATTGCTTGCCCAGTAACCCCCGATGAATGGAAGACCATCGCAGACGGATTTGGAGTTCGATGGCAGCTGCACCATTGTCTTGGTGCACTTTATGGCAAACATATAGCTATCAAATGTCCAAAAAATGGTGGTTCTCTCTACTACAATCATAAGGGCTTCTATTCCGTAATTTTACTAGCACTTGTGGATGCGCACTATAAGTTTGTTTGGATCAGGAAGAACAATGATATAGTAGGTGGTAACCGGCTTACTTGTGCTGCTAAAGCTCAGAAAGAGTATCTCAAGGCTTACTACAACTCGGAAGCAGGAGTAGTGCCTTGGCAGGGAAACATGATTTGAATCAATTGCAAAAGGACTTATTTTTTATGTGATTATTTTTACAAAGAAGTGAATACAAGTGATTTCATTTGAAAAAAAAATTTACACTGTATATATATATATATAGGGATATAGGGATATTAGGGATGACAATTTGTAACCGGTTAACCGATTACTCGGTCGGAACGATGGCAATCGGTTAGAGAATCTGTAATCGGTTAGTCGAAAAAAAATAATTTATACAAATTTCAAACCAATTTTGTTAAAAATTTTATTTTTGAAAAAAAATTAAATCTTGGCATAAACGTTCATAATTCAGTGTTTTCATATACATGATATATCCAAGCTGACTTGGGTGTAATTATGGTTCTCCGGATTGAGAATCAGATCGTAGGGGTTTATTCCCCGAATGGCTACTCGGAAAAAACAACAACAAGTAATTATCACACTCAATTAAGGGGCCCTCTAAGGGGTACAGGTAAACATACCTGTATTAATAATCTATACAAGAATTTAAATAAAATAAAATGGATTTTTATTTCATTTTTTTTATTTGAGCACTAGTATTAATAAATATTTGGTATACATATTTTTTAAATAAATAATTTTACAAGCACAAAACATTATACAAACTATGATTTATCTTGAAGTTCTATTGTTTAGCAGCACTGATTTTCACAATATATATTAAATAGCACTGTTTCACTTTCAAATCACACATATTTACAGTGTATTTAGTCCATCTCCATATGTTTCATCACAACTAAGGGACCAGTATCCAAGGTGAAGAAATTCAGATGCAGAGTCTGTGTAGGTCATTAGATCAATGATGCCTTAGAGTTTCTGATACCTTTGTTTCAGTAACTGCAATCTTCTCTTTATAGTTGCATATTTTTTTCTTTGACACTTATTACGATAGTTTTGATTATTAAAAATTTCAAAGTCAACTGATATGAATTATCAGTTGCTTCATCAATTACATTTATTAACTTTGGAATTCCTTAAAAATCAAAGAGATCTTTATACCTATGAGATGCAATGTCTCCGGTTCAAATAAAACACATCTGTTTTTATCTCGAGTCGTCTATAATTATTATAAAAATTGCAACATAAACGTCTGCATTTTATGATGATTTAAAAGAATGTTTTAATAATAATAAATTGATTTAAAGGATAGATAAATGAATTAAATTAGACAAAACTTGTTAAAAACACTTAAGTTATCATACATAAATATCTATATTATTTTAAGAAAAAAAAGCATTTGTGTTAATTTATTCAAAGAGTTTGAAAATGAAGCACAAAAAGGGGATAATAATTTGTAAATTCTCAATCAAAACTATTGAATAGTTTGGAAAAAATAGAATAAAATTAAAATTACAATTTCATTTTTCTTAAATCTTAGTTTTATTTATTTATTTTTTTATTCAGTATATTTCCGAAAATAAAAAAAAACCCTCTTAATTAAAATAAAATTGAATGAATATATCTGATTTATTTAAGGAATAACTGTCTTATTTTTCGAATTCATGAAGTGATCAATGGATTGGCTTGTGTAATAATTTGCATAAACGCCGAAGGCGTTTATGCATAAAATTATCACACAAGCCAATCCATTGATCATCTTCATGAATTCGAAAGATCTGACAGTTATTCCTTATATTTACATGCTTTGATTCTGCCAATCCACGGGCTCCAAGCCTGCTTCTCTCTAGGTGTTGTCCCGCCCTGCACGTGGTTTTTTTGGAACCCCGCCAAAACATTCATGAGGAAATACATTACATTTACAATTGGTAATTTTATCTAGGACAAAGACATTGGAAATGTAAATATAAAATATTGCTTGTCCAGGTAAACACATGTAAGTCTACCTGTTCCCCTTAGAGGGCTCTTTAATTGAGTGTGATAATTACTTGTTGTTTTTTCTGAGTAGCCATTCGGGGAACACACCATCGTAGGGTAACTGGTCATTTAGTGTTTGAAGTGTTAATTACTGTTAAAACACCAAGTCCTTACCCTGACTGTCCAGTATTTCATTAATGATAATTAAATCACCGTTAAGAACTGCGAATTAGTAATTTAAGTGATGTATTTCAGACCTATGTTTTATTCAACTCTCTGGCAATCTGGGAATGTAACTCATTTGTCGTTTCCTCCTGTTGGCCCAACTTTCCTATCAAAAGTTCCGTCTCCCGGTCAAGGTCTTTGGTACATTTTGATTTCTGTTGAGATCGAGAAAGAGTCTTATTCACAGTCTGGCCCTAACAAAAAATTATACAGGACCACATGTAATATACTTTACTAATGTTAGCTATAGTTTACTTTTGTAAATACCATAACGATGTATTTCTATATTTATTGCATAAAAGTAATTTTGCCAAGAACTTCAGATCTTTACTTGTATAAATTAACAGTTGTCATAAGAAACATGTTGACATTAACAGGAACGAGTACTTGTACCATTTCCAAAATATCCATTGTTGATATGAAATTTGAGAGATCCAAATGTATGTAACTTTAAAGAAATCTTTATTTATATTTTCTTAAATCAACCTTTCAAAGTACAAATATGTATTTTTTTAGTAAACTAAATTATTTTTTGTGAAGGGGGTGGGGTGGGTTGGGGGTTAGGATGTACCTGCGAAGTAACAATATTTGGTCTGGATTCATCCAGCTCTGAGTCCGAGTCAGGAATAGGTAAAGTGGTTCTTTCCGAAGCAGCAATCTTGGCTGAAAAAAAAATAATTTTGAATAATGTCAAGTAAAACACTTAAAATGCAGTATGCAGAAACCAAAATATGGGTAGCATTTTATAGAATCAGGGGCCCGTTTTTACAAAAGACCGAAAACTTCGTAATTGATTGTTAAATTTTACAAAATTAATCATTCTCTTTGAAATTGTTTGTGTAAAAATATCTTAACACAATCCTTTTTTTAAAGTTTAACATCATTTTCAAGATACTTTTAATTGAAAATTTATGTGAAGAATTAAATTTAGTCTTAAGTCGTAAGTCTTTTTGTAAAACGGCCCCAGAGCTGTAAAAAATCATCGGAATAAATGATTTATTTAATTACATTGATTCCTTGTCTACTCGGAACTCTTGCGATGTGCTGTTGAAGAAAAAGAAAATTATCCATTATGAACTGATCTCTCTGCGTCATTTCCCTTGCCTCTGCCCCAGACCTGTTTAACGTCAGCTTGCCCAGCCTCATACGAATGTTCTAATACCATCTTCTAAGTTCTCCTGCAGACTCCATGTTTAGCTCTGTAGCCTTTGGGTGCCATAACTGATTTTTTTTTCCGATGTCCCGGTAGGCTTTTAGCCCCTTCGAGTATAGACAAATTCCCTTTAAGTCAGTCCTCTAGATTTATTTCATTTTCCTCTGACAAGAGGATAGAGCTTTTTCTCTTTTTCTTTGAAGGGCCCTCTTCTTCACTGATGGTGGGAGAGGGGGGTGTTTTCGTTTTCACCTTTATTTTTCTCGGCTTCATGATCTGTCCCTGTACATGTGGGGCTCTCTTCGACAGGAATAGACTTCTTTTGTTTTTTTGGTGGAAGAGTGATGTCTGCTTTTTTGGCATTACCTCTTCTGGGCGGCATCTTTACTACAGTGTACCTTTGAAAATGTGTTGATGCTGACATGTTTCTATCACGTGATTTCCTGAATTCCTTACAAAATGCGTAGAGTGATCTTAGGAAAGCCTTCGTTTTTCTTCGAATGTCCGTAAGTACGCCGTGAAAAACTGTAGATTGACCGTATGAATGCCTTGGTCATCCTTGGAGTGACCGTTGTATTGTACGACTTGAAACAAGGTGTACTGCGTTTAGCCGTGACGGTGTCCGTATTGAGAGAACCATGTTCCTTAATGTAACCATATCGAAACCTTCATATAATTTTTTGCGCCGAAAAAACGTATCAGCGTTACGATCTTATACGGTCTTTAAAATCGGGATGAACAGTTGCGATTTGTCTCTCTTTGTTTTCGGTAAACACTAGACGAGCACGTGGTGTGCCTATAGCTATGTGTTTTATTAAAAATGAATAAATTATGGGCACATTGTTCACGTATAAAAAGGTAAATGATAAAAAAAATTATAAATGTACACCTGCATCTGTAGCTCCGCATTCTCCATCTTGTTCTTTAATGAGATGCTTGCAAGAGGTATACCTACAAAAGGTATTATTGCAATATAGCCAGTGTTTTCATTGAATGTTTAAAGGTAAAAATATCATAAGTATTGACGAATATCAGAACTTTCAAAATCAGAGAGATGAGAGCAGTTATTTAGGGAATGTTAAAGAAAGAATGAAGATTAAATCGAGAATAGCGATAGAACAGGCTCCTATAGAAATCTATATTGTTGTATGGGTAGTTTTTATTGAATTCAAAAATGGCAATAGCTAGAACTTATTTTTAGCATTTATCTTCACATTTATCAATAAATAACGCATTAATAAAACCCAAAAGAGTTACAGACAAACCCAAAAATGGATTATTTTTTCTAAATAGGGTAATTAAAAAGACCATATAATTTCTTTCTTGAATTGTTAACGAGTCTGTTTGAAACTTGTAATTACATATGATTTGTCGGTAGTCAACGTTTCTATTTTTCCGTTTTTTTCCCGATCATGACAAGGAGCACACGGTGAGTGTGACCGGTCAGCAGGGGATGCTCACTCCTCCATGGCACCTGATCCCACCTCTGATGTTTTAGAAGTCCGTGTTTGCTCTGGTCCTGTTTAGTATTGTTTTTTTTTAACTTTTGATCTTGAATACTGTTCGTTATCTCCATATGTTTCAATTGAAAATATCTTGGCTTAAAAAATCATGCTTTAATGGCTGCCTGAATAAAAACTAATTATTAAGAATTAATTGATTAACTACCTACGGTATTTCAAGGATCAAAAGATATTGTCATAATCTCAAATCAATTGATATATCTACATTTTTTTAAAAAGAATTGATCATATTACATACAAAACAGTTACATTCATACGACTCTTCCAGACGCGTGATT